TTGCGACAGCTGTTCTGGCGCGCCCCGCTGCGGCCCGCCCCGCGCCCGCTCCGACCGCCGCCGCGGGCGCGCAGGGAAAGGCGATCGACGCCGGCGGAGGGGCGGAGACGCGCGGGGATGGGCAGAAGGGGCCCTGGGACACACAAGTAAATGCACACAAATAACAGGAATCCCCCAATTTTCCCATATTTCCTGGGTTTCTGTCTTCCCCACCACTTCCCAGATTTTCCCATATTTTCTGGAGAATCGGCGATTCATTGTGTCTGTGTGTTTTTCTCCCTCCTGAAAAAAGACGGAAGAGCAGCGGGATGGAAGAAACGACGACGCTCGAAGCGGCGGGGGCAGGGGCGCAGGGGAAGCGCGGGAGAGGGGCGACGAGGGGGCGAAACGAAGGGGAATCAGAGGAAGCAGCGGCAGCAATGACGCGGCCGGCGCGCGCCGGACGCCAAGCGCGATGCACTTCCCAGTGTCGCCGAACAGCGAATCCCGCGCGCGAGCAGATGCAATGACGCGGCTGCGCGAGCTTGTCTGGCGCGTCACGCGCGGCGAAAACGGGCGCGACTCGGCGAGGGGGGCGCGACGGAGTGTTCCGAGGGGGGCAGTCCCAAGGAGAGGGGGGGGGGGCGGGGAAGGGCGGGCGACGTGGAAGAACGCGAATTTCAAAATATTTTGATGCAGGTTTGAGGAGTGTGATAGAGATTCAAAACAAAATAAAACAGCTGACATTAAGGATTGAGGATTTGTTTTTATTTATTTATAATACACTCATTTCTGCTCATTTTTCATTGTTTTTTCTATAATTTTTTGCTGAAGAAGGGAAGGCGGGGGAAGCCTTCCGGGGGCTTTAGGCCCATCGGGATCTCCGCTTCCCGGCGCCGCCTCCGGGGGCGGGCGCGTCGCCCTCTGGCCCCCCAGTGGGACCCCGACCGCCCAGGGGCCCCGCTGGGCCGCCGGCGCCCGCAGAGGCGCAGCGGCTGCGGTCTGGCGCTGGGCTTCCAGGCCCGAGCTGAGATGGCCCGCCGACAGGCCTCCGCCTTTCTTTTCTGGGACATGAAGAAATCCGCCGACCCTGTCGGCGTGTGGAAGATGCATTCCCGTTCGTCGTGAACGTCGTCGTCGTCGTCGTCGTCGTCGCCGTCGTCGTCGTCGTCGTCGTCGCCGCCGTCGTCGTCGTCGTCGTCGTCGTCGTCGTCGATGCTCTTCCGTTCGTCGTCGTCGTCGTCGTCGTCGTCGTCGTCGTCGTCGTTGTTCGTCGTCGTCGTCGTCGTCGTCGTCGTCGTCGTCGTCGTCGTCGTCGTCGCCCTCCCCTCAGGCGCGCCAGCCAAAGCGAAACCAAAGCGAAATCGAGCAACGTCGTAGCTGAGTCGAAGGGAAGCCCCTTCCCTTTGACCCCTTCCCCGCCCGGGGGGGGGTGTCCCGGGGGGGGTCCCGGGGGGGGGGCAGATACGCATCCCCCCAGGGATGTCCCGGGACCTAGAAAAGCCCCCAGACTGGCCAAGAGTGCCCCAAGAGGCTTCCAAGACAGCTCCAGAGGGCCCCGAATCGCCGAACCATCGGTCGAAGACGCCAAAGTAGCCTCCAGACGGCCCAAGAGATTGCCAAGACGCTCCAAGAAGTCCCCAAGAGCACTCCCAAGAGGGCACGAAGAGGGAAACATTAATGATTTCCAAAAAGTGTTTGACAGATTTTGGCGTTCTCGCCGTTTCAACTTGCCGACGCTCCAAGACGGCCCCAGATGCCCCCAAGATTGCCCCAAACTGGCCCAAGAAGGCCCCGAGAGAGTCCCCGAGAGAGCCTCAGAGTCCCCGAGAGACCCTTGAGAATAGCTCCAGATCGCCACCGCCGTCAACGTCGTCGTCGTCGGCCGAAGACGCTCCCGAGAAAGCCTCACGATTGCCAACAACGGCCCCAACACGACCCCCCCCCCCACACGAGACCCAAAGATACCCCCAAGAGGCCCCCCCCGCCACATTAGAGAACGCATGGGTCGCCCTCCAGGGTCGGCGGCACCGGCCGTAAGGCCTTCGCAATATTATGAATGTATTTCGTTAGAGTACCTTTTTTTTTTTTGGACCCATAGTGGCTCAGGAGGCTCCAGGGGGGTCCCAGTTGAAGGCGGTCGACTCCTTGGTCGAGCAGTCCGAGGAGACCGTGGCGAGAGGGGGGGCCCACTGTCCGTAGTATTTCGTTAGAGTACCTTGGGCACCGGTGCAGGGCCCATGGCTTTCCTCGCCGCATCTCCAAGGTCTGCTTCGAAGCTCACCGCTCGGTGCGGCACCTCTTCCTGGGGGGCATCCTGGAGGGGCCCTCTTGGGTCAAGTCGGGTGTTGTCGCGGGTTGTTCTATGGCCGCTAGTTTCATTAGGGCGTTCGCGATGTCGGCTTTCGATGGCATTCCCCTTTTCCATCAATGCCGACTTCGACGCGTGCGTGGACGACGCGGGCCTTTCCAGCACTGGCGCTCCTGCCGTTGTCGTTTCTTCTTTAGCGCGGAGCGCCCGGGCTCTTCATCGCGCCATCACCAAGATTTTGGGTCGCACTCTGGCCATTGACAAGGTTGGCCTGGTCAGCAGCAACCGTTGGGTGGCCAAGAAGCTCGAGCTGCAGCTGTGACCACTCGTAGGTTTTGCCTCGCCCTCAGTAGTCGACTTAGGCGTCGACTGCGCTGCGGGGCGCCCGCTCCGAGCCCGAGGGGCCGGCAGGGGCAACCATAGCACGTTCAAGGGGCGCGCGGCGCTCGCTCGCAGGAAGAACAAGCGTCTCGGGAAGCGCAGCGCAGCCTTGGGAAGGATAGCGCTTAGGATTTACACCTCGGGGCCGTTGGCCGGTAGGTCCTGCGGGGCCGAAGTCTTCGGGGTGAGCGGCGCTGAGTTGGACTTCTTCCGATCCCAGGGGATGTCCACGATTGCGCCCAAGTCCCGGCATAGCTCGCTCACTGTCATCTCCCTGCTTGAAGGAGACCCTCCATGGAGGGTGGACATTGCTCCGTTGGTTAGGGGCTCCAAGGAACTCTGGCTCACTCAGACGCGTCAATTCAGAGGGTCATTGTCCTCTCAAGTGTTGAGGGAGTCTTGGGCTGAGGTCCTTAGGAGGGATGACTGGCCTGGGGCTAAAGTCCCGGGGCCGCTCAGCGCGCCGAGGGTGGCCTTGCATCGGCTCGGGTGGCTTGTGACGTCGTCTTGTGCGGTTGTTGTTGACGATAAGGGGGCTGAGCTCAATCTCATGGTGCTCTCGCCTCGTCTGCTCTGTCGGCTTGGAAGGGTTGCCGTCTATAAGGGGCCTTGAAGTGGATTCCGGGCCTAAAGTGTGGGGTTCCCCACAGGCTGCGCTGGGACATTGCGCGTGGAAAGCTCAGGTCCAGCAAAGTCTCTTGCAAGGACAAGTCCACTACTGGCCATCGCTCGGACGTCCATTCCCTGTGTTTTTTTCGGTTTCGTGCGTGGTTTTCGCCAAATGATCTAGGATGCTCCTCGACGGTCCCGGGGATGCGCAGGAGCTTGTCCGCAGGCTGTCGGTTCAGATGTTGTAGCTGAAGCGTTAGATACCTATGCTGAGGGATCTGAGTACACCCTGTTTACGCATGGTGTTTTTCAGCACCCTGGAGATGAGTTACCTCGACCGTCTAAGGATGGAGTGGTTCACGTAGACTGGTCTGTCAGTGAAGCCACGCCCCCTGGAGCTCTTGAACCCATCTCCACGCACCTGGATCTGGGGCTCTGGGGTCACGTCGTCTTGGATGGCAGTTGTTTTGTTTCAAACACCCTCTTTATGAGTTGTCTAGGGCTGGCTGGTGTTCGGCCATGGAAGATAGCAATGCCAACCTCATGTGCGAGGTGCCTGTGCCTGTGTGGCAACCCTATCCCCAGACGCCACAAGCCGCTGAATTTGGAGCGCTCGGGGCCCTGAATTTCGCACTTGGGGACGTAGCTGAATGTTTCAGTTATTGTAAGAACGTGGTCGACCTATTCTTGCAGGGACCTGGTAGGTTCTTGTCGCCGAAACTCCAGCATTCTGGCCTCATTTCTTTTGGTGTTTCGGGAGCTTGCCCAAAGCTGGCCAATCTCAAGAAAGTTGATGCTCACAGGGATCCGGATGAGCACGGAGCCTCCCCGCGTGAAAGATACGTCAGGCGAGGTAACTACTTTGCTGACTGCGGTGCCAAGAGATCTGTTAAGTGGCACCCTGCTTTCTCACAGTCGGAGAGCGAGAGGATAGATCGCGAGGTTGCGATGGCCAGAGCTGTTGTGGATGTCGCCGCCGCCCTCCCTCTCTTCCCTCGTCTGGAGCCCCTTGGGGTGGAGCGTGTTCCTCCTCCTCCTGTCTCCTCAGCCTCCAGGAAAGACCCGCACAGGTGGCAGTGGATGTCCAATGTTTGGCGTTGGTTTGTGTTCTGGCGGGGAGCGGCCAGTGCGGACCGCCCTGCAGCAGGCGCGTGCCAAGGCCCATTTGGACTTGACCCAGTTGGATTGGATCGGCTCCAGCACAAGGTGATTGCGCTCGAAGCGTCAGATCACTCACATATACTTGTTTGTTCGAGTTGCCGTTCACACTCTTCGGGGCCCCAGGCTTGTAATCTTGGGAGAATATGTAAGAAGTCCCGACGAGGACTGGCAACAGGAACTGGAGCAACATTCGCCAGGGGAAGCACCCAGGCAAGGATGGTGTGCTTTTGGACCTGGACCTTGTGAAACTCCTGTTCCAGGGGTAAGTTAATTTTGCCCGCTGCAGTTTAGACTCCTTCTGCAGCGAGGTTGGAGGTGCCGTCGATGACAAAAAAAGAGGAGGAGGAAGTAGAAGAAAGACAAAAAGGAGGACTACAATGCTGTGAGGATGATGACGGGATCAGGAGGAGGTGGAGGAGGACAGAGGAGGCCGACGAGGTCAGGACCAGAAGGACAACATCAGGAGCTCAGGAGGATGAGAGTGGCCACAGCGTTGCTGACCCAGGGAGAAGGAGAAGGAGAAAGGGGGGGACGGAGCGCCGTTCGAACCCCTCCGCACCAGCCGCTCTCCACGCTCCGTGCCCGCGGCCGTGCTCCGGGCGAGCGCTCCTCTCCTCCGGCGCCTCGAGGCTCCCCTGGCTGGGCCCGCGCTCCTCCGCTGCGGCTCGCGAGGCCTCCTTCGGGGGGGGGGGGGGGCCCCCGGCCTCCGACGCGCTCTTCTCCACCCCGCCCCCGCCCGCCCTCGCCACCCAACTCCTGCGATGCCCCCCTCACCCCTCCTCCCCCCCATCCGCCCACTTCCCTCCTCCTCCCTTCTCCTCCTCCGCCCACTTCCCTCCTCCTCCTCCTCCTCCTCCTCCTCCTCCTCCTCCTCATCATCATCATCATCATCATCACCATCATCATCACCACCACCGTCATCATCATCGTCATCATCATCGTCATCATCGTCATCATCATCATTAGCATCATTAGCATCATCATCACCATCATTATCATCGGAATCAAAATCTGAATGTTCATATTAATCACCATCATCATCGTCATCATCGTCATCATCGTCACCGTCATCATCGTCATCATCCTCATCCTACCCTTCTCCTCCTCCTCCTGCTGCTGCTGCTGCTGCTCCTCCTCCTGCTCCACCGAACCTTTGCCTCATCAACCACTCTGCCCTGCCGCACCCCCGACAGCGTCGGTAGGGCGGGCCGGGCGTTCCGTCTAAGACTTCCTCACCGTTTACCCGAAACTGGAAGTGCACAACCGCTTCGCGGATGGAGGGCTGCTCTTTTTCAAATGTGAAGGGACCCTGAGACACACAAATAAATACACACAAAGGATTCCCCATATTTTCCCATATTTTCTGGGTTTTTGTCTTCCCGCCCAATTCCCATATGTTCCCATATCTTCTTGGGAATCGACAATTCATTGTGTCTGTGTGTTTTTCCCCTCAAGAAAATTGCGGTCCTCGCCTCAGCGCCGCGCACAGTCGATCTAACAGTTGCAAAGGGCTTCGTGGATGGACGGCGGCTTCTTTTCGAGATGTGGCTCTCGTCCGACGAGCACATTCGCCCTTGAAAGTTTGCCGCATAGTCACGGTTTTGTTTGGCTGAGGTCCCAGAAAAGGGGTTACAGTCGGGGCGCTGACCTAAGGAACCCTAAATAAGGAACGAGGCCCCTGTTTTCCATAAGTTCAACCTCGATTTCCCATGGAAAACCTCAAGGAAACCCGAGGCAAACAGTGAAACATTCAAGGAACACCGAGCCCCTCCCCAACGAAAAGGGCTCCTTCTTCAGCGCTCAGACTGTATGGCACGGCTTGGATTGCCAAGACGCAGCAGTCACATCGATTCGCGGCGTTGAGGTCCCAGGAATGGTGCTTCGGCGAGATTTAAGACTGTCAAGACGCAACGGCCACGCTGATTCGCGGCGCTGGAATCCCAGGAGAGGTTGTCTTCCAATGGGGCACCTCCCGCAATGACAATTAAATATTGTAGGAACCTATGAAAAGGGAACTATGACAGAGGGTTGATTGCAACATCGTTGATGCGTCTTGGGTTTGCACTGGTCCTATCTGGTCCTCCTCCTCCTCCTCCTCCTCCTCCTCCTCCATCTCCTCCTCCTCCTCCTCCTCCTCCTCCTCCTCCTCCTCCTCCTCCTCCTCCTCCTCCTCCTCCTCCTCCTCCTCCCCCCCTCCCATGCCCCCCCTCCCTCCCTCCCTCCCTCCTCCCTGCCCTCCCCCCCCCCTCCCTCTGCCCGTCCGCTGGTCCTGCTCCTCCTCCTGCTCCTCGGCACCCCGCCAGCGCTCGCCGCGGGCAGGCCGCCCCTCGCCGCCCGCGGCGCCCTCTGGGCCGCGGCCCGCGGGGAGCCCCGCTGGGCTGCCCGCCGGCGGGCTGGAGGGGGAGCGCGCGCCCGGGGGCGAGGCGGCCGCCCCCGCGGCGCCGAAGGCCTCGCCGTGGGCGGCGGGCCCCGCCGCCGGCAGCGCCTCGCGGGCCGCTGCGGGCGCCGCGCGCGCCGCCTCGGGCATCGAATTCGGCGCGGCGGGCGCCGCGGCGGCGGGCGCCGCGGCGGGTGCCGAGGGCGCCACGAACAGCACCTCGGGCTCGTCCGCGGGCGCCACTGCAGCCGCCCCTTCGGGCGCGGCTGCGGGCGTCCCTGCGGCAGCCGCCTCGGGCGCGGCCTCGGGCGCGGCCTCGGGCGCGGCCTCGGCCGCCGACCCAAGCGCCGCCTTGGGCGCCGCTGTGGGCACAGCCTCCCGCACCGCCGCCGGCCACGCCGATGCCGACGCGGGCGCGGGAGCCGCCGCCGATGCTGCCACGGGCGCCTCCTCTGGCGCCGCTGCTGGCGCCACTAGCGACGCCACGCGCCGCAGCGCGGTCGCGGCTGCAGGGGCCGTCTCGTCAGGCGCGGGCTCGAACTGGCGGCAGGCGAGCGGGTGGGCGGGCCCCCGCTCGATGCGGAACCGGAGAGCACCGCCCCGGCGGCTTGGCTTCGCCAAAGACACCTCGGTGGGCAGCCAAAGCCCGCCGCCCGGACCGAATACTACGGGGAGTTCGAAAGGGCGGCACTGTTTTCGACACGTTGTGCAACCCTAGGAACAATAAATAGTACAACAAGGGCGCGGGCACTGCACACGGCACAACACGACGCGGCACTGCGCAGGGCATGGCACGGCAGAACAAAAAGACTGCCCCACCGAATCATGAAATGGTCCCGCGACGCGTTCACACACCTGCAAGAAAGAACCAGAATCGCGAGTTGGACCCACGACAGGGAGCAGCAAACGATATGACACACGGAAGGTGCGCGACACGTGGGGAGCGGCACCACGAATTGGACCATCAGCGCGACACGACATGGCACACGGCGGCGCACGAGAGAAAGCACGGCACTCGAAACCGCACGCGGCGCGGCACACGGCACGTGGGGATCAGAATCGGCAGTTGGACCTATGGCCATGGGCTGCGCCAGAGGGTCAGTGTACAGGGCAATTTCTAATGCATAAGATTGTTAAACATATGGGATTCTTAATGCATGATTCATGCATTAATACATGTATGCATGAACTGATCCTTATGTGTAGTACTAAATCCCTGTATTTTTATACATGATCCGCACGCGGAGCATGTATTTAAACCGGCACTGTAATTAAGTTGCGCCACAGGTTGCGACATAACCTGCGCCAAATATTGCGCTGTAGGTCTGCAATTCACTGCGCCATAGGTTGTGCCGTAAAGCCGCCACACATTGCGCCATGGGTTGCGCACGGCACTGTGCAACACCTGGCACCCCGAACCACTTGTCAGTCCGCATTGTCACTGTTCTAACATCCGTAACGTAAACATCTTGCAACCTTTGCTGTTTGGGAGGGGAAGCACTGCCGTGACAAGGTTGGCGTGGCTAGGGAGTGTTTCGATGCTTCACCTTCCTGGCCTGCCTGTTCAGGAGAAGATGGACGATGACGGTTCGCTGGCCAAACGGGCCAAAGGCGTGCTAGAATGTCCGCCAAGAGATCAGGAATCTGCTGTGCTGCTAGTTCGCGCGCACGGGAAGGCCACTGAGGGACCCAGGGGAAAAGTGCCCCGCAGACGTGCCGGCAAATTCTCGGCAGAGTCCCGGCAACTGGCAAGTTCGGTTCAGAGATGCCGGAACTCCCTGGCGCGGGTGTCGTCAGGATCCTCAGGCCCCCAGGATCTCCAAGGCGGCCGTGCGGCCGGGAGGTTCTGCTCGGCGCGTCGCGGCGGCTGCCCCAGCGACGCGCTGTGCCCTGCGAGCTGGCAGCGTGTCGCTCACTCGGGGCGCTGACGCGTGGAGACTGGGACACGACGAGCGTGTCGCGCCGAAGCCTGGTAGGCCAGAACTGGTGGCGCGACCCGCTGAGAGCAGGAGTGCCCGACCGCAGAGGCCTCGGCACGGGCCAACAAGGCTCCAAGACGGCCCAAGATGCCCTCAATGACGGCCCACGAGGCCCTGGAGACGGTCCAAGAATGCCCCCAAGGAGAGCTAGTACGCAAGACGCATTCATACCTACTCATACCTTACAAATAGAAACACACATCTTACCAGTGTTCTCGGTCTTGCAGGCGTCCGGCAGCCCAAGACGGCACTAAAGGCCCCCGAGATCACTCCAAGACGGTCCCAGATGCCCCCGAAAGAGCCCCAAGCGGCCCAAGAGGCCCCCCCGACGGCCCAAGAACTCCCCAAGGCGGCCCCCCCAGAGAGGGCCTCCGAGACCAGCAGCAGGCCTCCATGAGCACCCGGAAGACCCCAAGAGGGTCCAAGAGGCCCCAACAAACCCTTAGGAAGCGAACCCACCAGGCATCCAACACGCCTCTGACCCACGATCCAGGCGCGCTGGCGGACTGAACTGGGGGAACTTCGATGGGGGGGGCGTGCCCCTTTGAGAGTTGCCGTGCAACTACCCTGCCACTGCTTCTCCCCCAAGCGAGGTTCACACGACGGCTCATGCCACGACCTTCTCCGCCCCCGCGAGCACACAGGCACAAGTGCCATCGATGATACAGTACTGACGGGCGGAGTGAGCGAAGCAATTGAATGACGAGGGCCCGAGGAGTAGGAGGAGGAGGAGGAGGAGGAGGAGGAGGAGGAGGAGAAGAAAAAGGAGGAACAGGAGGAGGAGGAGGAGGAGGAGGAGGAGGAGGGAAGAACACCCACCTCTCCGACTCCCCTTTGCGTGTGGGGGTCAAGGGGCGTCTCTGGCCGCCCAGCCTCGTCACCAGCGCGGATGGCCGCCGGCGTGCCTCTGCCGACCTCGTGAGGCAACCATTGCACCCACCAGTCTGGTCGGCCATCCGCCCGTTCCCCACCTTCGTCCTCGTCTCCCTCATCCTCTTCCCCTTTGTCCTCTTCCCCCACGTCCATCCTCTTCCTCTTACCCCACGTTCATCCTTTTCCCCCTCATCCTCTTCCCCACGTTCGTCCTCTTCCCCTGTGGTCCTCTTCCCTCGTCTTCCCCCGCTCTCGTCCTCTTCCCCCTCTCATCGTTCTCCTCCTGGGGCTGGGTGGGGGCACGGGCGGTTGTTGGCAAGGGACTCCCAGACCTTGCGGTCGTTCACGTACGTCCCGTTGGCGCTCAGATCCTCCACGGAGGCAACGCCTGCTGAGCCCTCCACCGTGCGCAGGCGGCAATGCTCACCTGTGGGCCTCCCCAGAAGGAGGGTCGCAAGTGGGGTTCGCTTCTGTCGAAGCCCTCGCCGCACTCACCAATGCGACCCCCCCTCTCCAGTCCTCCCCCTCCCCTTCGCCCCATCCTCGTTTTGCTCCTCTCCTGTCCTGCTCCACCCCTCTCCCTAACCTCGCTTCCCGCCACTCCTCCCCGCTCACCAATCCGCTTTAATCCTCCTCCCTCGATGGGGAGACAAGGAAAGAAGGAGGAGGAGGAGGAGGACAAGGAAAAGGAGGGGGCGGAGTTCGATCCACCCTATGGCCTGTCGTCTTCCTGTTGGGGCGGGGCCTGCTGCTGAGGGCAAGATGTTCCGTCAGTCTTATTGGGGGCAACTGTACCTGGAGGGAGCGGAAAAAAGGTGCTTCTGGGGTGCTTACCCTGACAGAGCAGATTCCACTGGGTTCTAGCTCCTTTACGCTTGAACCTTCCTCCACAGCCTTCACTTAAGCCCACGACACTCGATTCATTGTAAAGGCCGCAGCGAGCACATGCAATAATTAAATTTGCGCCTCGGGCCTCTTGGGAGGCATCTAGCTGATGGCCCAGGGGGTCAGCAGCTAACAATAAAACATCTGACTGGTGACCTTTGCAAACCTCGTCTTTGCGGCTCGCAAAACTGCTTGTTGCGCATCTGGCCTTGCAGATGGCGCAGATCCATTTCCCGCTCCGCCCCCACTCCCACCGATGGAGGAAGCGGGGGGGAAAGAGGGGCCTCAGGGGCAGGAGAGGGAGGTGGGATAGGTTGCTGCCACGCGGCAAGGGCGCTACGCGCTCCAGCAAGAACTTTCTGGGCGGCGCTCTTGTCCCTGGAATCACAAGTTTGTTTGCTGGTCTTAGGTCCCACGGGCTCCCACAAGCGTAAAACCTTGGCAACGTAAATCAGCCACTTCTTAAGCAGCTTCCTCTGCTCATCAACCTCCTCTACTTCTGAAGTGGAAGGTCGGCGCAGACACTGGGCACCTAGTTTGGCAAATTTGTCGGCGAAATCGTTTCCAGTGGCATCGAGCCACTCGGCCGATCCCTGGGGGATCGCCTCACGATCCTGACGCGCCTTTATCTCCACGCACGCAAGGTTATCATGCCACCCTCTGCTTCCACGGGCCAGCATGGCAACGCCAGCATACTTGTGCTTTCTATAATACTGTTGGCGGTTGTACACATCAAGAATGCCTCGATAATCCATGATTGTCTCAGATATTGGTCGAGCAGGGGCAGTAGCAGCAGCAGCAAGCACAGCAAGGCGCCCAGCAGAAGGGGGGGATTGGGGGAGGCTTCTGCCCACTGGTCCGTAGACCGCTCCTTCGAGCTCGCCGCTCTCGTCGATCACCGCGGCGGCAAAACCCGCGGCGTGGAAGCACGAGTGGCCCTGTTTCAGACATGATCTGTCTGTATAAGCCTTGCCTTTGAAAACGTATTGGAGAGACTGCCCCTCCTTGACCCAAAATCTACAATTGTCTAAACTGTTCCCGAGACCTTCGGGGGCGTTCACCGAAAAATCTGGCCTCACTTTGAAGCCAGCCTGGACAGGGAATCTCGAAAGGTCCTGAAATTGGTCTCTTTCGTCCTAGGAAAGCATTTCATCTCTAGGCTGTGCTGTGCACGGGCAACTCAAAGTCTACGATGAAGATCATCTGGGGCGTGTCCACATTGGCGCTGGGGCTCTGCGGGGCACCCTGCTTTCTGAAGGCACGCGTGATTCCAGAGGCCTTGGGTGAGGAGCGCCTTGAGGGCATTCTTTTCGGAATCCGAGATCTGGTTGGACTTTAGGAGCTCCTGAGCGACGCCGGTGTCCAACTGGCCCTCCAGACCTAACTTCTGCGCTGCCTGGGCCCTGAGCTTCTGCGCCCAGGCGCCCTGGAGCCAATGCTGGAGGGCGGGGGAGGTCGCGGTGAGGATGTGGTTCCGGTCATTCTGGTCAACCATAGACAAGGGGCCTGGAAATCCCCAGCCAAAGAGAATGGCACTGAGGATCGCCGCGCCGAACTGGCCCCTGCACCGGCCCCGCTTCTTCGGCGGATCTGCTAAGATGTCCGCGGCCATGGCGCGAAGACCTGCGAGGTTGAAGCCCGGCGCGAACTCGCTCGTCATGGCTCTCCGCGCGAGCGCGCGTAGACCACGAGAGAATGGGCCCTGCACCTGGTCGCCAGCGGGGGCCCTCAAGCAAACGCAGGGCGAGTGAAAGCGAACGCGCTGAGGCCCCTGGGCCAGCGATTTTCAATAATAACCCTTGAGACTGACGGTCCACATCGCGCATTCCCACCACCTCTGAACCAAGAAGCCAGGCTTGGCCAAAACCAACTGTAAAGCTTTAATGTATTTCCACCTGCTCTATGAACCGCTCGAATATTAAGGGCCCTTGCTTTTAGCTTTTGCGTGTCTTTCTCTCAGCTTGCTGCTGCTCATGCGTTTGTCTGTCTTGTGACCAGCTCGAAAATTAACTCCTAGATTAGCTGCGCGAGCTGGGGTAGAACCTGAATGCCTGCCCACCTGCTTAGCTGGCTTCTGCTGGACATCCACCGAGGTCGCAAGACCGGCGGACTTGGCAACAGCAACCGAGCATTCCCACTCGAACTGGATGGCCCACGACATGCTAGCGGCCGCTCTCCTCTGTTCCGCGACGAGGGTGGCCTTGCGCTCGTAAGAGAAGAGGGGGATACTATCGTCGATTAACATATGGAAGGACACTGGCAGGTTAGAAATCAAAAAATCGAACGGTTCCAAACAGTACATCTGGACCAAGAGCGCTGCGAAGCTACAACCTGCTGGAATACCTCTTCGACGTAAAACCTGCATGTGGTGATCGAGTGTTTACTGTTAGCATGCGCTTAATTTGATATTGGCTCATGATGATGGACGCGATGGCCCCGTTAAGTCCCGACTCCAAGGCTCTCTTATGCAGCTTTCTCTATTGACGTGTTCGCAATAGTTTGTCAAATCCCACACGGTGGGGGCTGCGCGGAGGGAGGGGCCCGGAGCGGCGCCGATCTCTGCCTGGAGCGACCGCCGGCACACCAGCTCGAGGATTCACCTCCCAGCCTGATGCGCAAGAAAAGTTATGATCCCATCTTCTTGCTTCCGCTTGACGAATGCGGGCCCAGATCCGATGCGTGCTCGGCATGGGTCCTATGCCTCGGTAGGAGGGCCCTTCACCTGATGGCATATGTTTGGGAATGAGAGCTGTTATTACTGCAAGAAGCTGGGCCGGCATGCTAATTACCAACGCGCTCCACGACGTTGAGGAGCCTGCAAAACTGCCCCTGCTGCTGCAGCGACAAGAGTGCGACATGCTTGGGGTGAAGTCCGTTCCAAGTCTCTGCCGTGGCGTGACTAAACTTCTTCTAGGCCTGCTTGAGTCCCCTTGGGGTAATGCGAGGAAGAGCATCTGCTGCTTGGGGGTCCGCTGGGGCTCTTGCTTGAGGTTCCGCCTTGGAATCCCAGATGGTCGTGGATATCCGAACTTCCGCGTGCAACAATTCAGTCGGGCAGCCCGAGAAATCGCCGGCTTGGGTTTTGACATGGGAAGGCTTCCAAGGCCAATTTTTCCTGGCCCACCTGCGGGCCCGGCCAACCCCCGACGCCATCTTGTCTTTCACCCATTGTGTCCAAGTCGAACTAGCAGTCTGGCCTTCTGAATATATCTCCGCGTCAAAAAAAACTTAAAACTAATTCACGAAATATTGCTTTGGCTGCATATGTTATCCCTTCTTTGCCCCTGCCCTGAACGTCCTGCTGCAGCGCTTCCGCGAGGCCGCGCACTTTGCTGAGCATGGTGCGCAAATCACCGGAAGCAAAAAACTCCTGCGGCGGCTCCGACAACAGCTGCGACAGATCGGGGGGCGCGCCCATATCCGACTGAGAAAGAATGCGCTGCGCCTCTACAATCTGGCTAAGCAGCCAGCGCGTCGGCCCCCAGAAAGATTTACAGTCAGCTCGGTGTTGGCTCTCTACAGCTTTTGCAGACAACCAAAGAGTCTTTGGGGGCCCGCAGCGACGCCCAGCTTGACGGAGGGGGGCGTTGGTCGCTCTACTGATGGCGACCTCCATTTCTGACACCAAAATCTCATGCGCTTTGTCCAGGGCGGCTCGTTAAATCCCTGGGGCCTCCGATGCCCAAATCTGTTTCACGGTGCCCAGGGCAGCCGATGTTTCTATCCAGTCCCAATTCTCCAGTGCTGGTCCTACAGGGCGCCTCGCGGGGAGCTTCTGGGGCTCGCTGAGGACTGGGGTCGCGAGGCTCGACCCCGCGGCTAGGCCGAGCTTGACCAGACGATGCGGCGAGAGGAGGCACTGCTTGAGAACCGAGATCGCCTGCGCCGAAATTTTGAGGCACGGGCCCATCATGAAATACTCAATCTTTCTGCGAGTCCTACTGGTGAACATTGTGTAACCTGCTGGGCGCTCTGTCCCCATGCCAGCGCGCTCTAAAACTCCCGAGCCTGCGATCATCGATGGGGCCAGATTGAAATCGGCCCGGCAAAGACAGGCATGATGCACTTCTGCTGAAACCATCATGCCGTAGCGAGAAGGTAAATATTAGCGTCGTTGAGGCCCTCGGAGACCTCGAAGTACATGGACAAGAATACGATTGGACGATGCCCAGGTAATTCTAGACTGGCAGCTGCTGCACGGCTATGAGGAATATAAACAGGAAGAGGTGCTGGCTGGACTCCGATGTTGAATCCACCGCGGACTAGGATGCACGTGACGCTGCTGGAGTAGCCGTTCTCGCCGACATCGCAAAGTGAAATGACTGCATGCCAGCCGCGGCCTTCACGCCATTGAACGGCACGTGCCAACTTGTCTCCGCGGAGTCTAACCTCCTGAGCGCAAATGACTGCAGCATTATGAACTTCATCTGATTGAACTAGCTTCTGCACTGATGCCGAACAACTTCTATGGATGGTATTGATGTCGAGCTGCTTGCTGTAACCCGCCGTGCGACCCTCCTGGGGGACCTTTTCCCAGCGGCCTTCGCCGCCTCGGTCGCCTTGGTGAGCGCCGCTCGGGCCTTCTTGGTCTCCTGGTCGGTGGACTCCACCGCGATGGTGCCGCGGGCCTGTGCCAGCGCCCCTGCTCGCTGTGGAGTCTCGTCTGCTCCTTCTGCTTCGTCGACTCGGTGGCGCCCATGCCGTCGTTCTCGCGCTCGCCAACCTTGGGGAAGCTGTCGGGCCCCCCAGGCGCCTCCGCCACGGCCGCCGCTGGCTGCGCGCCAGCAGCGGGCCCTGGCGGGCCGCCTGCCAGCATGGCAGGCTGCGGCGGAAGCTGGCTGGCGACGTCCACGGCGGCTGCGCCCTCAGGATGCTGCGCTGCCTGCTTGATGCTCTCCTCCAGCGCATGGACCTGCTGCTGGATGTGCACTGGCACTCCCGTGACTGGCCCTTGCTGCAATGTTTGCATGAACTGGTTGAGCGACGGGAACGGACTGGTCGTGTTCGGCTTGGGCGTAGCTGCTGCCATCGAGTCCGAGCGCACAGTGATCGCATGCTGCGCCTCCAGCTGCGCCACCTCCTCGCGCGCCGTGGTGATGGCGGCCTGCAGGTCCGACCACTCGTCCGCGAGCTTGGATATCTCCTCGAGCTTCTCGGTCGCCTCCAACTCCGCCTTGTTGATATTCTCCTTGGCCCGCTCGATCTGATCGCGCAACGACTGCGCCTGCTGATCGAGCGGCTTGGCTTTGAGCATCGACTGTTTGGCAACTTTGAGCTGTTGCACAGCCGCCTCGTAGTTGATGCCTCCGACTCCCTCTTGATCTTTCCAAAACTGTACCGAGTCCTGGTGGGTCGAGACTTGGTCTTGGCCCGTGGCGGCAGCTGAGGCTGCTTTATCCTCATGTTGGGAGCCTTGGTCATGCTCGCCCTGCCTGTCATTCCCGCGAATGCCCCTGGCTGCGTGCTTTCCCCCCTCTCCAACGATTGGCACCCTCCGGCGCAGGTGGCAGAGACCCCGATCATCTCCACGTCTTTTGCCACGACCGTGAAACTTCCCCCCACGCTGTCCGCAGAACTGACCGACGTCGCAGTAGCCCCGGCCACCGCGCTCTGGACTGGAGCACGCGAGGTGCTCGCGCTGCTCCGGGCTGCCACGCTTCCCTCCTTGAGCCATGGTGCCGATGCCGCTCCCGCGAGAAGCAGACGAGCAGCGCACGGCGGCAGGAGCCTGCTGGGAGGCGGGATCGCGGGAAGGCGGGGGCTCCTGGAGCCCTGGGGCGCGTCGAGCTTGGGCCCCAGCTCACAGGACCCGGCCTGCGAGGCAAGCTTGGGCCGAGAAAGAAGAGAGGAGGAGGAGGAGGAAGAGGAGGAGGAGGAGGAGGAGGAGGAGGAGGAGGAGGAGGAGGAGGAGGAGGAGGAGGTTTAGGAGTAGGAGTAGGAATAGGAGGAGGAGGAAGAGGAGAAGGAGGAGGAAAAGGAGGAGGAGGAGGAGGGCGAGGAGGAGGACGAGGAGAAGGTAGAGGAGGAGGAAGAGAGATGAAGGGAATCTACAGAGAAGGCAGGTGCAGCTCTACAGTCTACAGCGGCAGTGGGGGAGGTGAAGGGGGGAGGAGGAGGAGGATGCGGAGGAGCAGGAGGACAAGGAAGAGGTGAAAGAGAGAGGACCAGGAAGAGACGGAAGGAGGACAAGAAACACACGTAGCTGAGGAGGGTGACGAAGGGGGAAGACGACAGAAGGAGGACAAGGACGAGGAGGGGGGAGGCGGAGGAAGGCAGGGGAACCGAGGGGAACAATGACGAGGATGAAAAGGCGGAATATGAGGTGGATGTGAAAAAGGTGGGGAATTGTTTTTTTTGGCAACGGTCAGCAAACCCAGCGAGCGAGACAACAAACTCTAACAACAACGCGACCGTGCCGACGAAGAGAAGACACCTCGACGTTCGCGAAGGCCGAGAAGCATAAGCAGCCCAGCTAGCCGAGCCAGAAAGTGGATTATTGGGAAGAACACTAGGAGGAGGACTACGAGGAGGCGGACGAAGGAGGAGGATTATGCTAACGGAGTTCCCCACATAAAAATATTAACGGTTCCGTGGGACCCATGGGGTACGACAACATCAACACGAAGGAAAAACTCATCGAACGAGTAAGCACGCACGAAAGGGCAGACGAAAGAAAGGAGGACGGAGGACAGGTGCTCAGGAAACGAAGCCTTGTAAATCACACGGTTTCTTGATACCCTCCTCGCTCTGGCAGGGCCCCGCTGGAAGGGGGGAGGGCTACGAAACCTGGTAAAGAGTAATGCTTTCCGCGGCCCTCCTCGTTCGAGCGCGGCCTCTCTGGAGGAATGGAGGGGGGGCGCGAAACCGTGTAATGTGCATTGTTTTCCGATACCCTCCTGGAGGAGGAGGAGGAAGAGGAGGGGGAGGAGGAACAGGATAGGATGGATGATGGTGAAGAGCAGCAGCAGGAACCGCAGCAGGAGCAGCAGCGGGAGGATGACCAGGAAAACGAAAATGAGAAAGACCAGGGTCGGGCGGGCGGGTGAGTCGCCCAGGCGTCCAAGGTCCGATTCGTGCGGTTGGTCTGGGTGGTTTTTATTTCCTCGTATTTCCTCCTCTTCCCCTCCCTCCTCTTCCTCCTCTGTCTTCGCCCTCGTCGGTGTCGTAGTCGTCGTCGGCAGCGTCGGCGTCGCCGTCTTTCTCAGGCGGGCCCTAAAAGGCGGGCCCTGCAGTATGGATTACCATCGACTTGGCACGCATGTACCCCTCCTCCTCCTCCTCCACCTCCCCCTTCTCTTCCGCTGCTTCTTCTTCCTCTACCTCTCCTTTCTCCTCCCCCTCCTCCTCCTCCCGCGAAATCCTGAGAAGGAGTGACCAGGGCAGGCTTGTGATATAGATGGCGTAATTTTCATTCGCTGGCAAAGCACGCTCGATCGAAACCGCAATGTTTCGAGCCAGATGGCGTCGGCAACAAGTAAGTCACCACCAGCACGTTCTGCGACCCTTGCTGCAGCACGTGCGAACGCCCCCGTACGGCCGAAAGCGCAACAGGGAGATGGCAAATCACAACTCAGGAACTAATCAGGGTTGTACAAGTCGGCGAATGACACGAATTAGCGAGGGGCACGAAACCATTTAAATAGTAAGGGTTTCCGATACCCTCCTCGCTCAGGCGGAGCCTCCCTGGAGAGGTGGGAAGGGCACGAAACCATGTAAATAGTATGGGTTTCTGATACCCTCCTCGCTCAGGAGGGCGTCCCTGGAGGGATGGGAGGGGCACGAAACCATGTAAATAGTAAAGGTTTCCGACACCCTCCTCGCTCAGGCAGGGCCTCCCCGGAGGGGGGGGAGGAGCACGAAACCATGTAAATAGTAAGGGTTTCCGATACCCTCCTCGCTCAGGCGGGGCCTCCCTGGAGGGGTGGAAGGGGCACGAAACCATGTAAATAGTACGGGTTTCCGATACCCTCCTCGCTCAGGCGGGGCCTCCCTGGAGGGGTGGAAGGGGCACGAAACCATGAAATTATGCTAACGGAGTTCCCCACATAAAGAGATTAACGGTTTCGTGGGACCCATTTTCTTGATACCCTCCTCGCTCAGGCGGGGCCTCCCTGGAGGTGTGGGAGGGGCACGAAACCATGTAAATATATGGTTTGCCTCCCTGGAGAGGTGGGATGGGGCACGAAACCATGTAAATAGTATGGTTTTCGGATACCCTCCTCGCTCAGGCGGGGCACGAAACCATCCCTGGAGCTCAGGCGGGGCCTCCCTGGAGGGGTGGGAGGGGCACGAAACCATGTAAATAGTATGGTATTCCGATACCCTCCTCGCTCAGGCGGGGCCTCCCTGGAGGGGTGGGAGGGGCACGAAACCATGTAAATAGTATGGTATTCCGATACCCTCCTCGCTCAGGCGGGGCCTCCCTGGAGGGGTGGGAGGGGCACGAAACCATGTAAATAGTATGGTATTCCGATACCCTCCTCGCTCAGGCGGGGCCTCCCTGGAGGGGTGGGAGGGGCACGAAACCATGTAAATAGTATGGTATTCCGATACCCTCCTCGCTCAGGCGGGGCCTCCCTGGAGGGGTGGGAGGGGCACGAAACCATGTAAATAGTATGGTATTCCGATACCCTCCTCGCTCAGGCGGGGCCTCCCTGGAGGGGTGGGAGGGGCACGAAACCATGTAAATAGTATGGTATTCCGATACCCTCCTCGCTCAGGCGGGGCCTCCCTGGAGGGGTGGGAGGGGCACGAAACCATGTAAATAGTATGGTATTCCGATACCCTCCTCGCTCAGGCGGGGCCTCCCTGGAGGGGTGGGAGGGGCACGAAACCATGTAAATAGTATGGTTTCCGATACCCTCCTCGCTCAGGCGGGGCCTCCCTGGAGGGGTGGGAGGGGCACGAAACCATGTAAATAGTATGGTATTCCGATACCCTCCTCGCTCAGGCGGGGCCTCCCTGGAGGGGTGGGAGGGGCACGAAACCATGTAAATAGTATGGTATTCCGATACCCTCCTCGCTCAGGCGGGGCCTCCCTGGAGGGGTGGGAGGGGCACGAAACCATGTAAATAGTATGGTATTCCGATACCCTCCTCGCTCAGGCGGGGCCTCCCTGGAGGAATAATATTGTGTTGTATGGAAGATGGAGCGGGAGGTGGGTGGGAAGGAGAGGGTGTTCTGGGAAAACAAGAACCCCACTCAGGATGTGGGGAAATAGTAAGGGTTTCCGATGCCCTCCTCGCTCAGACGGGGCCTCCAGGGAGGGGCACGAAACCATGTAAACAGTAAGGGTTTCCGATACCCTCCTCGCTCAGGCGAGGCCTCCCTGGAGGGGTGGGAGGAGCACGAAATCATGTAAATAGTATGGGTTTCCGATACCCTCCTCGCTCAGGCGGGGCCTCCCTGGAGAGGTGGGAAGGGCACGGGAGGCGGGAGGCGGGAGGGAGAAGGAGAGGATGTTCTGGGTAAACAAGAACCCCACTCAGGATGTGGGGAAAAAGGAAGAAGAAGAGGAGGGGGACGAAACAGATGAGGATGAGAAACGACGGGCCAAATTTCCAGTGGCGCGCGGCTGGGAAGTCGCCATAGCAAACATCAGAGACACCAAGATACAACATATTTCCCGCCAAGCCGAGCCCAGTCCCAGTACGACCGAGCGAAAACAACGAGCACGGTGGGAAGTGGATTGGGAGCATGAGCGGAAAGGTGGGGTGAGAGGGGCGATGAGTGCAGAGGACTCTGAGCGGGCGAGGGGGAACGGAACAGGGGGAGGGGAGGGGAGGGAGGAGTGAGGGCTGGGCTGAGGGACGGGAAAAAGAAACGAAAGGCGAAATGGGGAGGGCGGGCCGGAGGGAACGGGGACACCAGAAAAGGGGAGTCGGAGGTGGATGGGAGAGCGATGCAGGGGAGGGCGGGGGTGGAGCGAGGGCGGGGAATGAGAAGAGGATGAGGTGGACGAAGTCGTGCTCCTGATGTGGGCCGCTCAATCCGGAAAAAAACATGCGCTTCCTTTAGCACGTAGAAACATGTTCCTCGGCTCACGCATATTCTCTGATGGCCCACCAGCACGGTGACAGGTTCGGTGACTCAATCGTGAAACCAATGCACTACTTCAGGCGCCGTGCAACCGAAGCGTCCAACCAAGTACACGAGCTGTCAAACGAGTGATGGCGAGTGTAAGCGGTCATTGTGCGGCGGTTGGCTCAAAATTGAAAAATGAAGCGCGAGAATATCGCATCGCAATCAAAAAGCCACCAGGCAAAGCAAGGAAACCGCACAAGCCGACCTGCAACAGCATGTTA